ACAGGGCAGGTGGCTGTAAATAGCTGTTAAACGGACACGTGAACAGTCACGCTGGCAGATTCCAGCCAATCCTGTCCTTTCCTTGGGCCTCAGCGTCCTCATCCGTATAACAGGGCAGGTTGCACTGGAGCTGGTCAGTGGGCATTTGCGGAGCACCTGCTGTGTCCCGGGCCCAGGAGTCAGGGATGCTGAGACGGAAGAGGCCCTGATTCTGGCCCCGAGGGGCTCACAGTCGTAAGACCAAGGTAAAGAGGCTGCGAGGCACCAGGTGGGCTCCGGGCTCAGAGGGGAGCAAGGAGGGGGCTGCTGCGTCCCTCTCTGGAGGCTGGCGAGGGAGGCTTCCTGGTGGTGGTGGAGGATGCTCAAGCGAAGGGAGCATGGAGGACAGTGCCTGGGGGTGGGGGACAGCCCAGCAAGGGGTGGCTGTGCTGTCTGGTTGGCACAGCCCAGCAAAAGCGGAGCAGTAAGACAAAACAGCTTCCTTACAGATGGGGAAACCCCTTTCCCTCGGATGGAGAAACCCCTTTCCCTCGGATGGGGAAACCGAGGCCCGCAGCCCGGTCACAGCACACAGGAACTCCAGCGGGCCTGGATGAGGCTGCGGGGCCTCCCTGGAGCACCAGGCGGGAGGTGGCCCCACCCTGGTGGTTCCAAAGGCCGAGCCTGAGCCCTCTGGGCCGAGCACAGGCCGCGCCCACCACATGAAAGGCCCCTGCTATTTTTGCCCAGAGGGCAGGCCCAGTGGCCTGGGGGCTGTGTAATTAGAAGTGGCCCTGGACCCACGGGGCTGGAGCTGGGGGCTGTGGTGGGCCAGGCAGCTGCCCCAGGCTCAGCCAGGGAGGGTCCTGGCAGGAACCCAGCGGCCTGAGTCTCTCCCGGCCTCCCCACTCCTCCCTGGCCAGTGGCAGGGGCTGCTCGGCAGGGTGGGGCAGCTGCTAATTGCACGGTGAGCACAGGGCGGGGGCTCTGAACTGCTTCCAGGCTGGGCCGAGGGCCGGGCGCTGCCTGCGCCTCTGAAATTACAGGCTGCGGAGGTCCAGCCAGCCCGTGCCCCGCAGTGGTGCGGGCCATGAGGGAGAGCCCAGGCCGGCCCCACACACGTCCCAGGACGTGGAAGACGAGACTCCAGGTGGAGGAAGCACTGCTGCAAGTGCATGAGTGGACCTCAGAGTGGTCATTCATACAGTCAAGAAGCACTGAGCTCTAACTGTGTCCTAGGCACTGTCCTGGATGGTGGAGTTAGGACAGCACAGACAGCCAAAGTTCTGGCAGACCTGGTGCATCGACTCCTGCATGACAACAACCTGTAGGAGCTGCCCTGTGGGTGTTGTGGTCCTAGTCACCTCAGGACCTTTGCACATGTTGTTCTGGTTGATGGGAAGCCTCGTGCACCCTTGCCTTCTTAATGCCCCCTCATCATCTTCAAGGGCAGCCCCTGTGAGGGGAACCAGACTGGCCACCATGGTCCCTGAAATACTGTCCGCTCTTAGTCCAGTGCGCTCTCAGGGTCATTTGCTTGCTTATTTATGTATTGCGGGTCTCCCGCTGATTCTGTGAGCCGTGTGCCTGTGTTTGCTCATCCCTGTCTCCCAGGGTTGGGTGTGGGCAAGGTGCCAAGCGAGGGCTCAAGGAATATGTACAGGGCAAATGAAATTTAGTGCCTCAGGATCAGAGCCCAAGGGCCTGCAGCCGAGGGGAGCATCCGGCCTCACCCCACATTTGCCCGTGGCCCAGGCTGGGCACGATGGACACGGGCACCCACGGCTGGTGCTCACCCGGGGCCGGGCACGGACCCCTCATCCCTAGTCACTGACCACCCTGGCTGCTGTCCGGCCTCAGACTGACTGGGGCATCCCGTCTAAAGCGGTGTGTGTACAGGAGCGTCCTTTGGTGCACGTGTGTGCGGATGCATGCGTGCAGATCTTTGTGTGTGTGTGTGTGTGTGTCTGTGTCTTTGGGTATGTCTGTGTACCAGATATGTGTGTGTATGTCTGTGTGTGTATGTGTACCTGTGTACTATGTAAGTAAATGCAGAGTCTGCCAAAAAATGTGTGCATACGTCAGGACAAGAAAAACAGTATGACTTTTTTTGAACAGATGGTGTTCCCTCACACGGGGTCCTAGAGGAGGTCTGCTGTGGGCTGCCGTGGGCCCAGGGTGGGGAAGGGGCCCTTTCAGAGAGACTGCAGGTCTGGTGGGGGCATTTTTGGACGTGCTGACACAGGTGCTCGTGCAGAAGAAGGACTCTGCCTGGGCCTGCGGCGGGATCCTGGCAGCTGCTCCCCCAGCCTCAGTTTCCCTTAGCTGTGTGGTGGGCTCCCCTTCCTCCTCTGAGAAGCCCGCGGGGTGTGAGGGACAGCACGCAGCAGGCTCTGTGTGGAGGGGGAGCCCTGTGCCCAGGGGACAGGCGGTGGGGGGGCGCAGGCGGTCCTCCAGCTCAGCTCCGCATCTGCCGCCTTGGCCAACGGTGGGCTGGAAAGAAAGTTGTACCTGCACTGAGCACACGCAGAACTTTTTCTTCTCGCCACTGTTCCCTAAGACGCAGGGCAAAGCAAATACTCATGTCGCGGTCAGTTGCTCTGGGTATTAACGTCGTGTGGAGGGGACGGAGGGGGACAGGAGGGGGTGCGAGGTGGCCCAGCACCACGGCACGCAGTCCCTGCAAGGAATGTGATATCCTCTGAGGTTCTGGAACCTTCGCCCGTGGACACCAGGCCTCAGAGCACCAGAGGCGCCTGCCCGTGCGGTTCAGGATCCCAGGTGGGGAGATGAGCAGGTCCCTCCAGGGGCCCAGAGTCACCACAGAGAGCCTTAAAAGTGGGACAGGGAAGCAGAAGAGAACCAGGCAGAAGGCAGCCCGCAGAGGGATGCGGGAGGCTGAGGCCTGGAGTTGGGGAGCTCAGGAAGCTTCTAGAAACAGGAAAGGCAAAAGAATGGATTCTCCCCCTAAGGACTGGAATGAATTCAAGCCCTGCATTCAGCCCAGCAAGGCTCATTTCAGACTCCTGACAGCGAGGTGTGAGCATGGGCCATTATTGCCTGCTCTGCTTGGGGGCATTTGCGACAGCAGGGAACCCGTGCGCTTGGCATTTGACACTGGCATCTGGCCTGGGCTCCTTACATTGTCAAGCACTTTCCTGCCCACAGGATCCTCTCATTTCCCCAGTGGTCTCGTAAGTACTAGGGCTTCTCTGTTCCCATTTTACAGATGAGGAAACTGAGGCTTATGGTAGAGCTCTGCTTGTTTCTGGGCCCAGGGCTCCTTGTGGGGCCCTGATTGGGTTGGTTGTTCCCCGGCCTCCGATCTCCCAGGGCTGTGAGACTGACTGCAGGTGAGTCCTGGAGGACTGGCTGCAGCCGCTCACTGCTGTCCGGTCTCAGACAAGTAGGTGGGCTGAGGCCCTCCCCGGTTGTCCTAAGGTGGGAAAGCTGCTGTGTGTCTATGGGATCTGTGTACGCACTGGTGAGGTATGTCCCCCCCATCCCCCAGAATACAGAGTCTGGGGTGATCACGAGAGAGGACGGGATGGGAAAGTCTCTGGTTTTATTTCCCAAATAAATGTTTCCACCTCTTGAAGGTGATTAGTAGCTGGGACCACCGCAAGGAGCGATCACAATCAGAGTCCGGGCTCCTCCACGGTGGGTGTGGGCTGTTCATTCACCCGCTGCCCTGCTCCAGCCCTTCCTTGGCTCCCCACCGCCTCCTGGGGGAAAACCATTCTTATATTCTGATGCTGGCCCCTGACTGTTCCACCCCTCCACCCCGGCTCTTCCCTCTCTCCTGGAGAGCCTGACCAGGGTCTCCTCTTGGGCAGCCTTGCAGCTCTCGAGGATGACCTCCCTGCCTCCTTCCCTCAGTGCACCAGCCTCCACCTGGGGTTCCTGAGCCCTGGGCCTGATCTCTCTACTGCTGAAGACCTCCTTCTGTTTTGTTGAAAAAAAAAAAAAAAAAAGCAGTACACAAGCTGGGTGTGGTGCCACACACCTAGAGTCCCAGCCTTCTGGGAAGCTGAGGCAGGAGGATCGCAAGTTAGAGTCCAGCCTGGGCAACTTCATGACTTAGTGAGACTCTGTGTGATAAAAAAGGGGTTGGGGATATAGATCAGGGCAAAGGCCCCGGGTTCAATTCCCAGCACTGGGGGAGGAGGGCCAGGAGGCAATGCGCACAGGCGGACTCTCCTGTGAGTCGTTAGGTAAATGTCTGCACACCTGCGAGCTCGCAGCAGGCCGGGCTGCTCTGAGTCTGCTCTGGAACCTGCTGGGCATAGCACCGGGCCCTGTGGATGTACTGAGCGTCCGCTGAGGGAATGCATGACTGTGAGGATGAACGAATGAGTGTAAGTGGCTGCAGGGCCTCTGGATTCCTCAGTGAGCCAGACATCCTGGTCTGGGGCCTGCCCGCTGCTCACTTCGGATCCCTGATTGAGCCATTTGAGCTCACCCCGCTTTACTTGTCTTGCTGTGAAATGGGTCTACAATTCCTGTCAATCCCAACCTGGGCCTTCTGAGGCCACAGGTCCCAGAATGGCAGAGACAAGATGGGCTCAGCAGGCGTCCCTCCCACCCTAGGAAGCGGGTGGGGAGCGGAGGCCTGGCTGGGGAGTGCCTGACCAGACCAGGTGCCTGAACTCAGCTCCCTGCTCGGGCTTGGGCCCCCCGGGCCTCCCTTCAACACGTTCTGACTCCCACTCTGCACCCCGAGCCTGGAACTCCTGAGTCACAGCTGGAACTAGGGACGGGGACTTTCCCTTCTCACTTTTAGGGGCCTCCCTGACCTTGGCCCTGGGAGTAAAGAAGAACAGGCAGGACCCTAGCTCTTGGTTCTGGGGAAGTCCTGTCTGTCTGTCTGTCTGTCTGTCTCCTCTCTGTCTGTCTATCTGTCGAGGCTTCCCCGGGGACCCCAGGTCTGGGAGGAAGTGAGGCAGCAGCGAGGGTGGGAGTGTGTGTGGCCCAGCACGGCCCCGCCCCTCCCCTTGTCCCCACCCCAAACTCTCTTAATGAAATCAAGCTGGCCCCGCAGCCCAGCCGGAGGAGAAGGAGGAGAGACGGAGGACGGGGAGGGCAGGCGCCAGCCAGGGCAGCCGGCAGGAGTGGCGGGGACCGTCCCAGGCAGCCGGACTCCTATCTCGTCCACCTGGGGCGCGCCTAGCCCTGCAGCAGGAACCAGTAAGTCCCAGGGGAGGGGTCCCCACCCCCAGAGCCTGCGTCTGTCCTGGAGCGCAGGGCCAGGGACTGTCGCGCCCGGCAGAAGCCCGTGCGCGCCCGAGGGTGTGCTCGCTGGCGGCCGAGGGTCCCGGGAGCCCATGCGGCTGCCGGGGTCGGCGGGAGGGGTGCGGGTGCCTTCTCCGCAGTGAATGGTCTCCAGGTGCTGCTTGCAGGCTCAGGGCGAGGGTGTAGCGGGGCGGTCCCGTCCCGGGTCGGGATGCGTGGTGCGTGTGTTGTGCGTTCTCCGTGTAGGGGGCCGCGCTGCGCCGAGTCCGTGTGCTGGTGCCCCGTGTGTGGTTGTCCCTGCCGCTGCTGTGTGAGTCTGTGTGAGTTCTGAGCCCCCAGAAACCCCCTCCCTCCCAGACCTCCCCTCTGAGGGGCCCAGCTCCCTGTCCTCGCCTAGCCCCAGACCGGGACAGTGCTTCAGCCCGGGCCCCCCCCCCCCAGACCACTAATTGAAGCCAGGTTTCGTGGGCGCCCCTCCCCCTTTGGCCGCCAGTCTCTGGCTGGGGGCGGGGCAGCCGCTCTGGACCCTCAGCCCGCATGTTGGGGTACCCAGGCCCTGCGGGCATTTGCATCTTTTGAATGATCATGACCTCAAGCGTGTGGCTTCATCCTAGAAGAGCTAAGGCAGTGAGAGGGTCTCCCGGGGCCAGGCCTGGTCCCCACTCACTGGCTGCCCCTGCCCACCAGCTTGGTGGCAGGGATTGGCCCACGGCACAGAGGGGAAGACCCAGGCCCAGAGAGGTGCCACGCGTGGCTCAGTGGCTCCTGGACGCCCCGAGCTGCTCCTGTGGTCAGGGCTGCGCTGCCCCGGGCAGCCGTACCTCGTCTTTGTGCCTGCGTTTCCTCTCGGGTGGGAGCACAGGAGTTGGGCGTCGCTCTGCTCTTAGGGACCTGAGATTCTGAGTCCCTCTGAAAGCAGGGCCGAGAGGCCAGACTCCGCTTCCCAGGAGGAGGTGCACAGACGGGAGGGCAGCCGCCCAGGCCAGTTCTCCCACTCTGCACATGGGAAACCAGAGAGGGCAGGGGCCCGCCCAGGGTCACACAGCCGTCTGCCTCAAGGTCTGGCTGGTTCCGCATGGAGCTGTGTCCCCGCACTTATCGCCACCTTTCTCAGGGAGTGGGAGGAGGGGTGGAGGGGAGCACGGGACTCTCGCATTGGAATCTTGGCCTCTAAGAGCCAGTGATAGTTTGTACAGCCTCCCTCCTTATCCTTGGCCTTGACCCACCTCCCTTTCTCTGACTCACTGCTCTGTGTGTGTGTGTGTGTGTGTGTGTGCATGCACACATGCGTATGTGTGTGTTTTTGGTTCCGCACTCCTGTGACCAGAGTTGAGAAAGTTTCATTCAATGGATTAAAAAAAGTTGGTTTTTTCCTATGGGGGTGGGGAGGATGCCAGGCAAAAGCACACACAGGTGAGGACAGTCCTTTGCTGGTGTAGGAGAAGTTGGCTGCTCCTGGAGCTCTCCGCCCCTGAATTCCACCTTTCCTGAGCAAGCTGCTACCCCACTCTGGGCACTTTCAGAATGTTATCTCATGCAGTCCTCCAGTGCTGTGGGCTTAGTCTGTGGTCACCGTACCATTGCCATGCACATGTTCACACACACACACACACACACACACACACACAGAGTGCTGCCCATTTACAGATGGGGAAAGTGAGGCTCAGAGGAGGCAGGAGGCAGAGCCAGACACCGGGGAGCCAGGGCCCAGCCTCCCGTGGTCATGGTGCTGCAGCTGCCACCATTAAAGGTCTCTCAGGGCCCACTCAAGACAGGCGGGGAGATGACTGGCAGGACACAGCCCCAGGAGTGCTACCCGTCCTCACTTAGCAGCTCGGATGCTCCTTCCTTCCGGCTGGGAAGTGATGCCCACCGGGGTTTGAACTCCTCCCTGGGCCGGCGCGGGTTTGTGGTACGTGCGTGTGTGGACGCCCACAGTCAGACAGAGGACGGTTTAAATCCCAGCTCTGTCACGCGCCATCTGTGTGTCCTTGCGCAGGTCACTGGCTGCCTCTGAACCTAGGGCCGTTGCCTCTGTAGAGGGGAATCTAGGAAGAGCTTCAGCTGAGTAATCCCTGAGGAAACCCGGGGATGTCCAGCTCATCTTAAACGAGGTCCTGAGGGCTGGGGTGCAGCTGAGTGGCCGAGCTTTTGCTGAGCTCTCATAAGGTCCTGGGTTCAATCCTTAGCACAAGGGAAAACTGTTTTTGCCATCTGAGCTGGCTGGAGCACATTTACGTCAGTACAAACAGCCGTCAGAGTTTTTGGTTTCTCCAGCTGCAGATTCAACAAACTGCAGATAGAAAATAATAAAACAGTATAGCGATAAAATAATACAGTATAATATCATTTAAGTAGCTTTTACATTGTGTGAAGTATTATAAGTCATCTAGGGGTGATTTAAAATACATAGGAGAAGCTGGGTGTGATGGCGCACACCTGTCTTTATGGCACTCAGGAGGCTGAGGCAGGAGGATCGTGTCCAGTTCTAGGCCAGTGTGGGCTACACAGTGAGTTCAAGGCCAGCCTGAGCTCTATAGCAAAACAAAACAAAGCAAAACAAGACACAGAAGGATGTGTGTGGGTTTCACACAAATCCCACACCATTTTATTTTAAGAACTTGAGCAGCCACAGATTTTCTTGTCCTTGGAAGTGAGTCCCGGGCCTAAGCCTCCAGTGATACTGAGTGACTAAAGCACAGGAATTGGGAGCCTCAGGTCACCTGGAGCAAGCCATTCCATGCCCCAGCCTCCATCCTACCTCCTCTCCTGGGTCTTCACTGTCACCTGAGAGGTGGGCTGTCATCTGAGTCACTGAGCAAGGCCTGAGGTATAGACGTGGGAAATGTGACCTGCGGTCAAGGAGCCAGGACCCTCAGCCGCTTCTCCAGCCCGAGAACTTGCTCCCCGTCTGTCTTCTCATGTCAGACCCTGAGGCAGGGCCTCAGACTGGCCGTCCGAAGCTTTCCATAGCATCCGTAACCGTGGCAGCTTCGGAGGTGACGAGGCCCTGGGTTTGCCTGAAGCCCGGCCCTGTCTCACGGCAGTTAGGAGGGTTCGTGTTTTAGAAACCAGCTCTTCCATAAACTCAGGCCGTGAGGAATTTATTAATCGGCGAGGCTGTCTGGGCCAGATGGGGTCTGGGGGTTCATGCGGGGAGCAGCCTTCCAGCGGCGGGGAGGGAGTGGGAGGGAGGTGTGGGCTCATCTGGTTCCCATCTAGAGCTGGCAGCGGCCATGCAGGGCGGCAGTTATGGCTTTGTCTCAGCACAGGGGGTCCCCGGGGGGCCCTCCCGGGCCTGCCTGGAGCCTGAAGGCGAGGGGCAGCCGTGGGTGATGATTCTGGCATCCAGACCCCCTGCGGAGCTCAGAGACTGAGAAACTTCTGGAGAAGGGGGACCTGCTGGGGCCCAGGGGGGAGGCCTGAGAAAGCCTCTGGCTGAGAAGCTGGGATGTGGCCCTGGAGCCACTGCAGCCATTTTGTGCACAGGGATGAGGCCTTGCACAGGGCAAGGGAGTCGCTCACTCACTGTCACCCCTCAAGGACTCAGTGACAGCCCCAGCATCAGCTCTCCCTTCACGCCTAGATCCAGCCCCAGCTCTCCCTTGGTTAGTGATTGTGAGCCTCAGTTTCCTTACCTGAAAAATGGGGGTAATCCTAGGACCCCTCTCCCAGTGGGTATCAGGATTCATGCCAGTAATCCCAGCACTTGGAAGACTGAGGCAGGAGGATAGCAGTGAGTTTGATGCCAGCCTGAACTGCATGGTGAGACCCTGTCTCAATATTCCCTGAATCCCCACCCCCCAGAAAAAGAAAGAAAGAAACTTAACAGTAGCAGCTGGCACATGGAAAGCCATGAAAGTAAAAGTTGTTATTGTGAATTCAGCCATGTCAGTTCAGATGCACTTACCGAGCACGTACAGTATACCAGATATGATGCAAACCCTGGAGCATGCTGGGGTGAATCAGACTCAGGCCCGCCATCCTGGACCTCAGGGGAGGGAGGGCATCGTTTGCATGCCAGGCATGAACCAGCAAAGCCCAGGTACCGTGGGTGCTCTGGCATCAGAACGGGCAGTGCCTGCTGGGATTTGTCCTGTGTTCCCTGCAGTCCCCGGGGCCTGCTGAGCCCTGTTCCTGAGTGCTGAGACCCTGAGGGGAGACCCCTCTGATCGCCCCGTCCCTCCTTTCGTCGCAGGTCCGGGCACCATGGTCTCTGCGGTCGGCTCCAGCCTCCTCCTCGCCCTGCTGCTGCTCCTGCGGCCTGTGCCCATGTCAGCTCTCTCCGTGTCCCTGCCTGCCGCCTTCCTGGAGGACGTGGGGGGCAGTGGGGATGCAGAGGGCTCATCGGCCTCCTCCCCCAGCCTCCCGCCACCCCAGACCCCGGCCCTCAGCCCCACATCAGGGGAGCCCCAGCCCACATCCCCGGAGGGCCCGTCACCCCCCACCAACCTCCTGGACGGCATCGTGGATTTCTTCCACCAGTACGTGATGCTCATCGCCGTGGTGGGCTCGCTGGCCTTCCTGCTGATGTTCATCGTCTGCGCCGCGCTCATCACCCGCCAGAAGCACAAGGCCACGGCCTACTACCCGTCGTCCTTCCCCAAGAAGAAGTACGTGGACCAGAGCGACAGGGCCGGGGGCCCTCGAGTGTTCAGTGAGGTCCCCGACAGGGCTCCCGACAGCCGGCCCGAGGAGGCCCTGGATTCCTCCCAGCAGCTGCAAGCTGACATCCTGGCCGCCACCCAGAACCTCAAGTCCCCTGCCAGGGCTGCCCTGGGCAGCAGTGGGGAGGGGGCCCGGCCGACAGAAGACAAGGTTGAGGAAGGGGTACGGAGCAGCCAGGAGGCGGCCTCGGACACCCAGGCATGCAGGGTCCCTGAGGAGAAACCCGAAGTCCCGGAGGAGTCATGCTCAGCTGTGGCCGAGGGTGCGCCAACGGCCGGGGCGGGCCAAGAGGAGCCGGAAGGGTCTTTCTCTTCAAACCAGGAAGCCCAGGGACCAGCGGGTCCCCCTGAAAATCCCTGCGCATGCAGCAGCGTCTCCCCCACCATCTAACAGGCCCCACAGCTGCTGGCCTTGACTCTCGGGCCCCTGTGGTCACTTCCTTGGGCATGAAAAGGTCTTTAGCCCTCACCCCCCCTCGTGGCCACCTCCTGCTGCCAACCCCGGCAGCTCCTGTCCTGCGGCAGCTGGAGAAGCTGGTCTGTGGTTCACCCAGGAATCCCCCAAGTTCCAGCAGCACTCAGTGCCTCTGCAGTTCCACGGGCTTCACCCCAAAGCCAAGCTCTCAGGGGAGGTGGAGGACAGACGTGTGCCCGGGAGAGCCCCGGCATCGGCCGTACGGGGCGGGAAACACGGTCAGAGGTCCGCCGTGAAGAAGCAAATATTGCTGTTTTTCCACGCAGGGAGCAAAGAAAAGCAGAGGATCGAGGAGTTTGGGGAGCGATTGGGTGGGCGCACCGGGGGTCCTAGGGCCTGCAAAGCAGAAGCAGCCTGCAACGACACCCAGCCTTTGAGTCTCCCTAAAGCCAAGTATTTCAGGCTCGCTCCATCTCTGCTTAGAGCTGCGCCTGCAGAAGCGGACCGGATTATTTAGGCCTCTTCCGGGAGTGACCCTTACAGGCATCCAGAAAGGGCCCTAAGGGAGTGTTTCCAGACAGGATTCCGAGGGGCGCTCCATGGAAAGAGGATTCCAAGGTCAACCGAGTTGAGGCCACGCTGGCTGCCTCCCTTCCCCACCCTACCCCGTTGCTCCCAGGGCTCTGACAGGCTCCAGAGTAAAGGCTCCTGTTGGACTGGGTCTGGGGCTTTGCTTAGCCTTTCCAAAGTCTATTTTTTATTTTTGGTTGTACTGGGGGAGGGGCGCAGGTCCTGGTGCATGCTAGGCAAGGGCTCAACCACTGAGCTACGTTCCCAGCACTGCTCTTTTTGAAAACAGCTATAAGGTCAAATCTTGCAAAAGTCACTCTGGAAAATATTGCTCTTATTTCTTGAAGGTGCCCCCAAGTTCTGGTTGGTCCAGAGTTAGGGTGTGGGGTGCAGGGTTTTGATTTCCGAAGCCACCCCTACTTGGGGTTCAGTTTCTCACCCCTCTACTGCTTCTGGGCTGGGGAACGTGTGTCGACCCCTGCTTGCCTGTGAGACCCTCAAAGCATCCTGTCAGCTAGGGGGCTGCATTAGAAGGGACCCTCATTCTGGTTTCTGACGCCCAGCCTGGAGCAGGGCGCGCTGACCACTGGCCCTTTGCTCACATGTGAGGTCTGGCAGCCTGTGTCCGCAGCACCCTTCTGTCCTTGACAGGGAGCCTGTGCTCCGTCCTGTTCAGGGGACTCTTGAGAGGGGTTTCTGCCCCATTCTTACGTGTGGGGCTCCCCCAACCTCTGCACAGCCCTCCAGGTGCTGAGATCTAACACACCAGCATAATAAACCTTGAATCTGTCCTGAGTCTCGCTGGTCTTCTGCAGGGGGGAGGGGCGGGTCTTGGGGAGGGGTTGCTCATAGGCTGGGAGCAACTTTCTGGGGTGACATCAGCCGGGTCTTAGAGGCTGAGGGAAAGATTGGTGTGGGAAAGATGGAGAGGAGTAGCTGGCTACACTGGCATGCATACCTGTAATCCCAGCACACTGGGAGGCTGAGGCAGGAGGATCACAAGTTTGAACCTAGCCTGAGTTACATATCAAGGCCTTGTCTCAAAATAAAAATATAAAAAATGGGCTGGGGATATAGCTCAGTGGGAAGGACCTGGGTTCAACCCTCAGTACCACAAAATAAACAAAAAAAGTATATATGTAGAGAGAGATCAGATGCCCCACAAGCGGGGGGCGTGAGCTCCCCCAGGGTGCCAGTCACACAGGCCTGGCTTCCACATGTGGTTCTGTCACTGGTCACGACCATGGGACAGTCACCACCCTGTGCTCCCCTGAGGGCAGGGGCGGGGCGGGAGTCCCAGCTGTCCATGCCCTGCAGGAAGATAGTGCGCTGTACCAGTCTCACACAGTGCCACGCACACGGCACCCTCAGCAGGCCCTAGTCCCCGGCTGGCCTCCACCTCTGTCCCCTTGGCTTCCAGCCCCTCCTTGCCTTTGATGGCAAGTTCCTGGGGTGGCTTTGCCCCCTCCTCCGGGCCCTGGAGCTGCCAGCTGGAATCCAGATGTGGCTGGGACTAGGAGCATGTGCTGGGCCCCGGGGGAGGGTGCAGGGAGGCTGTCGACCCTGTGTCCAGCACATCCGCTGAGGGGGCCCGGGTTTGGGTTTCACTGCACACAGTGGCCTCTGTCTGACTCAGTGGGGAAGTCCTCCCCGTCCCTGCCCAGCCCAGCTCCAGCCAAGAGCAGCGGGAGAGCCGAGTAGGAAAGCCCAGCACCGGTGTGCTGTGTGGCTCTGGCCAAGTCAATCGGCCTCTCTGGGCATCTCTCCTTGTTCCTGAGCTCCTGTGGGGGTCTCAGGCACTTGGGTGTGGCTGGGAAGTGGACTAAATCTCAAGACACAGAAGCACACACTGGAGATCTTGGGGGGCCAGCAGGGGTGAGTGTCCCGGGCGGCAGCCCCCCGCTAATGCTCAGCTGGACCCCCAGAGGGCAGAGTGTATGCTTTAGCGGTTGCTGTGTCCCCTGAGGCTGGTGGGCTGCTTGAGGATGTGACTTGAGCACACGGACGGGAGTGGATTCTCTGGCACTTCTGAGCGCTTCTAGCTGCTGTTCCTTCTGCCCAGGACGCCCTTCTACCCTCCTCTGCCCCATGCGGTGCAAATCCCTTCAACCAGTCCCTCCCGGCCTACGCGTCCCTTCCTCCTGGGCTCCTTCCCCTTCCCGTCCCTCAGGTTTGGCGGCGACAGCAGTCGCAGTGGACACGGCCCTGCCGTGTGCTGGGCCCCGCTCTAGGCACGGGGCATCGTTAACTCACTGAGACTCACAGCGCTAAAGTGGGCACTGTTGTTATTGCCATGCCCAAGTGAGGACACTGAGGCCCAGATGGGTGCCATCAGGCGCCCGGGTCACAGACAGGCCAGCTCAGCAGTCCGGCTTCAGAGCCTGAGTTCTCTGCTGGCTCTACTCTTCCTCTGAGGAATGAATGCCTGGATGGGTGGATGGATGGGTGGATGGATGGGTGGATGGATGGATGGGTGGATGGATGGGTGGATGGATGGGTGGATGGATGGGTGGATGGGTGGATGGGTGGATGGATGGATGGATGGATGGATGGATGGGTGGATGGATGGGTGGATGGATGGGTGGATGGATGGGTGGATGGATGGATGGATGGATGGGTGAGTGAGGCCTTGGGGCAGGGACAGCAGGCCTCCCATGCTGCTTAGACCCCTCCGGTCTGCTCCCCATCTGCAGCAGGGTAACCAGCAGGGAGGCCGGCAGCAGTGACAGCGGGCCATCAAGGGTGCCTTCCCTTGGGTGAGGGTGTGGGTCAGCCTGCCAGGGGCAGTGCAGGGCTGAAGGCAGGGGACTCGGTGCCCCAGTTCCCCAGGGCCTCGGATGCTGCCAAGGCTGGAGTGGCCCCGCCTGGAGCCCGGCCCCAGCCGCGCTTGCTGCCACCTTTGGCAGGAACGGCAGGTCCTGAGCCCTGGCTCTGGCTGCAAAGCGGGGTACTGATGGCCTGTGGGTGCGTGCAGAATGCTGCGGAGCCTCACGTGGAAAGCAGGGCTCCTTCTGTCCCCTGTCCTGCTCTGACCTGCCCAAAGGCCGGGGACATTCAGGGGACAGCAGGAGAGGACAGTGTGCACCCCTGTGCTGGGCATATCTTTACACCTGCCAAGGAGCTTATGGCTCTGGGTCCTGGGGTCAGACGGTCTGACCATCCCAGCTTGATCTTTTCGTGGCTGTGTGAACTTCGGGAAGGTGCCTGTCCTCTCTGGGCTTCTGTTTCTGCGTGTGTAAAGAGGAGTGGTCCTGCCCCAGGTGGACGGCAGGGTCTGCACCCTGCGCTCTGGGAATCACCCGGGAGCTGTTAAAATACTCCCAAGAGCCCTCAGAGCAAGGAAGCAGAGCGTCTGGAGGTGTCACAGAGGAGCGGGCCCAGATCCATCCCCACGGCCTCCAGCGCCCTGTGCCAGGGCTCCTCACCCATGGGAGCCCTCCTCACACTTCTGCAGAGGGCTGAGCAGTGTCCTTCACTTTCACAGATGAGGGACCAGGCTCGGAGGGGTGCAGCGGCTCACCTGGGGTCACACAGCCCAGTGTAGGTCTGTCCAGCAGCTCAGGCAGGCTCTGCAGCACTGCACCTACGCCATCATTTCAGAACACGAGCAGGGCCCAAGGCCAAGCGCCTGTGCCCAGGGTGGGGCGGGGTGGTGCCCGCTTCCTCCTTGGGCCTGCTGCCTTGCCACGCCCCGCTCTGCCTCCTTTTGGCGGGAGTTGACTGTGGGTCTGGGCTGCCTCGGGGCTCCTCAGAGAGCTTTGGTGCTGTGGAATCTGCCCCGGGTGGGACAAATGAACCTTCTGGGTTCTGAGATGTTCCAGGAGAAAGCAGCACATTGTTTCCCAACCACGGCTATTTCGTGAGCACTTCCTACATGCCAGGCGCTGTGGTGGTGGAGATGGAAGTGAATCAAACAAGCAACAGGATGCACCAGTACCGATTCCTAAGGTGAATAACTGCCATTAATAAATGCGCTATCCTGTCTGCATCCAGAGCTCTACCAGCGTTTTTGTTTTGTTTTTTTGAGACGGGGTCTCTCTATGCAGTTCAGGCTGACCTTGAGCTCACTTTGTAGCCCAGGCTGGTCTCGAACTCACAATGATCCTCCTGCCTCAGCCTCCCAAGTGCTGGGATTACAGGAGTGTGCCACCACACCTGGCAGGGTTTTTTAATAAACAGATTTACTTGAAGTATAGATGGTAAGATGCCCAGGCTTAAATCTGATGTGGTTTTTTTTCCCCCCACTACTGGGGATTGAACCTAGGACCTCTGCACGGAGCTACAAACCCAGTCCTTTTTATTTTTCAGAGACAGGGTCTCACTAGGTCACCCAGGCTGGGCTCCAACCTGTAATCTTCCTGTCTCCGCCTCCTACAGTGCTGAAATTACAAGTGTGCACCACCATTCCTGGCTACAATCAGATGATTTTTGATCTATGTGTATTCCCATAAAGACATCACAATCAAGATAATGAACGTACCCATCACCTCCAAAAGTTTCTCAGACCCTTCTGTGGCCCCTCCTCTTGTCTCTCATCCTGCCTCCAGCCTGTCCCCTAAACCCCAGGCAAATGCTGATCTGCTTTCTCTCACTATGATTTGCTTTTATTTTCTGGATTTTTTTTTTTTTTTTCCTCCGGTACCGGGAACCGAACTCACGACCTTGCGCTTGCCAGGCAGGCGCTTTTGCTGCTGAGCTAAATCCCCAGCCCCTTATTTTCTGGATTTTTATATAAAGGGAGTCACACAGTGTGTACACTGCTCTGTCTCACTTCTTTCACACTGCATAAATATTTAGTCTCTGTTCATGATATTGTACACATCAATATTTCACTCCTGTTTATTGCTGAGTAATATTCTATTGTATAGATGTACCATAATTTGTTTATCCATTCATCTGTGGACATTTGTGTTGTTTCCGGTTTGGGGCTGTTGCAAATAAAGCTGCTCTGAACTGCTAGTGTCATTTTATTCCTCTTTCACATCCTGCTTAATGAGGTAGTCCTTGTTTTATGGGCGGGAAGAAATGGAGACACAGAGGGCCCAAGAAAGTCACACCTGGGGTCCCTCTGCCGGTGATGCTGATGTCACTGCGTCATTACCAAAGCGGACCCTGGAGGTCTGGACCAGCCCTTTCTTTCATGCCTGGCCTCGTGGGGCCCAGACGGGGGCTGGGCTGTGTGGGGCGGGCGGTCCTGGCTGTCTGGTGGCGCCTTGCGCTGTGTCCACCTGCGCTCCGTGGTGGCCGTGGCGTTTCATCCGGTTTGGCGGGAGGGATGGGGCCAGTCTGGGGCAGGAAGGGGATTTGACATTTTTTCAGGAGGTTTTAATCTCGGGATCGTCCAGCTGCTCCGAAATAGCAGGAGGGATTTGGCGCTGGCTCCAGGGCTGGAGCCCCCCCACCCCCAGCTGCCCGCCTTCTCAGGAGGCACCAAGGTTTACTGCGGCAGCTGCAAAGGAAAAAATAACCCTGCTTATAAATCAGAGCACTGATGCCTGAGGCCCCATGGTAAGGCCCCATGTCCTCCACCCATGGGGCCCTGTGGGGCCCTCTGAGGGTGCCTGGGGAGGCGGGAGGGCTCAGGCCTGTGGGCAGCCACCGAGGGCTCCTCTTTCGGGTTTGGGGAGCCAGACTGCACTGAGGGGCTGGGACTGCACAGGGCTGAGGACAGGGAACGGGGACAGCCTCAGCCCCGCATCCTCCCTTCCCAGATCCTCCTTGACAGACACGCAGGGCAGGGCAGGCCAGTGGTTAGGAGTGCAGGCCTCATGACCTGGGTGACATCCCTGTGCTAC